AGTTTACATACGACGCCCCTATGGCCTGTTACAGCGACGTTGTCTATAAAGGCGGCCAATGCACAACCCAAGCAGGCACATCCACGGGCAACGCTTGCCTCAATGGAGCCTATACAGGTGCCAAATGGTTGAATACCTGTCGCAGGCGTCGCGCGCTTCTGGGCGATGGCCCTGAAGAGACGTCGACTAAGTGCACAAGTCTGAGCAAGCCCAATACTCTATTCTACAAAGACCATGAATCCGAAGGCACTTATGTTATCAAGATGTCAGACGTTACCGATCTCTTGTTGGCTCTTCAAGGTGTGCCTGATGCGGAGAAAGTCGCCTGGCTGAAAGCACAAGGAGCAATTTACGAGTCCATGACACAGGTCGAGAACTGAACGTGCGCGGATGTTCTGCGTTGGTGCCGTGAGCTCGAACTGTGTTCTCTCCGCCGAAATAAAGCCCTGCAGCTTAAGCCTTGTAAAAAGGGTGACCCGATTGTGTATAGATCTCGATCCATTCTAATGGTATTAGAAAGTCAAGATCTAGAAAATGTGTGTCACTTAGATGAAGGCAATAATTTTGAAGAAAGAAGCGCTTCGATTGAATCGTCGAAGGCGCAACACAGTTCTGCTTAGGTGGCATTAGCTTGCACTGTGTTTTCTCCATCGAAATAAAGGCTTGCAGCTTTAGCCGTGAAAAAATGGTGACATGATTGTGTCTAGCTCTGGATCATTTCTGACAATCTAAGAATATCAAGATCTTGAAGATTTATGTCACTTAGACGAAGTGAAACCTTTTCAATATACGAGCGCTTCGATTGGATCATTGATGCAATATATAACGCACTCTTTATTCCCATGGTACTGTCTTCGTGTGAGCAAAGTACTTTCTTGTAAGACGATATTACGGTGCTTCCATCAAGTGAAGTTATTTCCTACATCCTCCTTTCAGTCATAGGCACTGGGAGTTTGATGACTATAAGGTGGATGCAATAGTGAAGGGTTTTGGCTTGGAATTTTCAAACTAAAGTACATAGGAAACCCTTTTCACTCTTGGTCTGCTCTCAATTCTAGACTTTACACAAGGTTATTTTTCTCCCACTTCTGTCTCTTTCTAGTCCAATCTCTCTTTCTCCATAGTTAAGGCTAACCTTCTAGGCTTCAAGGCTACGAGTGGCACATGCTATTAAACACGATTAAATTTGGAGTAACCTTGTACTCCACAGAGGTTCGTCCGTATACACTGATGAGCACCCCAGTGCATGTCACAGGAGTCGGATGCTTCCCGAAAATTTATTGTTGTTCACTTGATCCCAATCTTGCAGAGTTCTCCCATTTCCATATTGCTCACTTAGTTTCCCAGGAGTATTATTTTAACAACTGCACTTTTTCCCCTAATTACACCTCTCACTTGCTTCATTTTTCGGAATTATGATCTCTGTTTGAATCCGCATCTTTGAGTCTGTTCGTTTCTATCCAGCTTCCATCTTTTTCTATCAATTCGCTATCACTTAGTTGGCACCCCTAGGAAATACCATTTCAGTTCGATATGTTTTTAGACCATTAGATGTTAAGCCCCTGCAGTTGAAAAGATGATTTGTTATCATTAAAGGTTTGCCTTCCCTAGATGACAACAGCCATGGGTTTGGCTGATAATAACAGATAGCAGAGTACGTGGAAAAATACTTGAAGTGCCACAAGTAGATGTCTCGGCTTCAGTACTACAGCCTACAGCTGCTTCCAAAAAGTTAGAGCTCAACGACCTTCAAATAAACTCTTAGACAGGAGTCAGGAAGATATTGGAAAACCCAGCGATCACAGTAGCTTTTTATCTGAGTTGTTTAACTGCGTTTCATTCCTGAAAGCCATCGAAAAAAGTAAGTCGAATAAAGGAACATTTCTCTATTTGTGCTCGCTCCTAAAGGAAGGGAAGTGCAGTGTTTGGAATATCACAGGCGGCTGTTCCAGATACGTTATAAGGTTCTGCAGAACGACTGGTCATGGCCGAATATTGGAATGGACAGATTTGACAATGGATATTGAAGTCAAGCCATATGAATCTAGAGTTTGCGTCTCTGAAGTAGTCAGCCTAAACTCTGACACCCAAATGTGAGAAAAGAAAGCAGTCAAAAGTGAAAACTAAGGCTGCAAAGAAAGTCGATTTTTGCAGTAATTTTTCCTTACATTTTGACGAGTCATTTGTTGAAAGACCAACTCTTTTCAGATTAGATGGATCTCTCCGGATTCGAAGACTCGGAGCTCGTTATGGAAGCTAGGACTTCGTCAGGGTGCCCGTGAGGTCTGGAAACTCGATATTTCTGTCATGTACATGAACAGCATCTTAGATGAACTGCTGAGTCACGTGCTATGTTCGAGCCTTGAGTTTACTTGCGCCACGAAGACTCTCGACATGCTCTATTCGAAACACAGGACCGATTACCTGAAACTCAAATGTAGAAATAATCAGCGAGGTCCTCACGTCCTAAATCCAAACAGAGGCTACACGATACTGACTGCACTAAAGATGGCTAAATGATTGTGCAGCTTCTTAGGGGCAGGTCTGGAGGCTCGCAGATCTAGAAACCTGAATATTGATCAGACAACGAACTGCGATCTCTACTTCTCTTCCCGAATAAAAGAACCAAACTGTGAGTCTGATCTGTGAAATTCCTGCGGCCAGGACATGGCTAACTCTTTCCCATCAGAATTTTACGTTTATGCTACGTGAACACTCATCACTTATCTATAGTATTAAAACTCCTTAACTACTTCTGTGAACACGTGTTGAGTATGTAGAGGAGAACTTTCCGTTCATTATGAAGAAATTTTGATTCTAGAACACTTACGTCTCAGTGGTATATATTTTCTCTTTCAAGTGAGTTGCATCTTCCTGGCTGGTATACCACTACCTTCCTCGGTTACAGCGACTTCAGTTTATATGGCCAAAGTCACGAATGAGATCTGCTGTGGACTCTTATTCTCAGAAGCTGGCGACGAAGCATGCTATCTCCCTCGGAGTCCCTCTCTACGACCTGAGCCACTACGGGACCCAATGTACATAGCATTCTGAATGAAGGATTTACAGATTTAAATAGTGGCAGAACATAATCTTGTCATATTTAACCTTATTCTGAGGTCCAGAACCATTTAGATCCGTTTTGCCTAGAAGAGATTACACAATGAACTGGGGAGTGTGGAATCGGATTGTGGAATGGGGTATAATGTGCGTCTTGGTTGCAAGTAATAACACGCTAGAGATCTATAGCTAGCGGTCAGACATGTCTGACTCCCTCTTTGACTCGGTATGTTCCGTATACTTAGATTTAGCGCATGCCGCTCTGGCAGATTTCGAAACCGATCAAATTAATATTTCTCTCAATCAATATATCTCAATATAATTTGGATTTAAACTTTATGATGATCACAACAATAACTAATTTTTTATTATTTGATGCATATGTGAATAGGATCATTCTTTTTTTGTGATATTGCGATTCTGAAAGTTTAATGCGATATGCTACTCTCGAAAACTTTGATTACGATTTAATGCAATCTTCAAAATTCATTTCATGGTTTCAAATCAAAGCCTACAAAATGATAAAAAATAAAATGATATGCTTTTGGTTTTGATATGCTTTTGCTTTAGAAGCTGCACAATCATGTAACCATTGCTAGTGCAGTCAGTATCGTCCCTGGATTCTGTAGCCTCTGTTTGGATTTACGAAATGAGGACCTCGCTGATTCTTTCTAGATTTGGAGTTTCAGGCAATCGGTCTTGTGTTTCGACTAGAGCTTGTCAATAGTCTTCGTGGCGCAAGTAATCTCAAGGCTCGAACATAGCACGTGACTCAGCAGTTTTTGTAAATAGCTGTTCATCTACATGACAATAATATCGAGTATTCCAGGCCTCAAGGCACCCTTCCGAATTCCTAGCTTCCATAACGAGCTCTGAGCCTTCGAATCCGGAGAGATCCATCTAATCTGAAGAGAGTCGGTCTTTCAACAAATGACTAGTCAAAATGTCAGGAAGACTTGCTGCGAAATTTCGACTTATTTTTGCAGCCTTAGTTTTCACATTTGACTGCTTTCTTTTCTCACATTTGGGTGTAAGAGTTTAGGCTGACTACTTCAGAGATGCAAACTCGAGATTCCTATTGGCTTGACTTCAATATCCGTTGTCAACTGTCCATTCCAATATTCGGCCATGACCAGTCTTTCTGCAGAACCTCATAACGTATCTGGAACAGCCGCCTGCGATATTCCAAACAATACACTCTCCTTCCTATGGGAGCGAGCACATATAGAGAAATGCTCTAGGGGAAGAAATGCAGTTGTTAAAATAACACTCCTGGGAAACTAAGTGAGCGATATGGAAATGGGAGAACTCTGCAAGATTGGGATCAAGTGAAAAACAATAAAAATTTCGGGAAGCATCCGACTCCTGTGACATGCACTGGGGTGCTCATCAGTGTATACGGACGAACCTCTGTGAAGTACAAGGTTACTCCAAATTTAATCGTGTTTAATAGCCTGTGCCACTCGTAGCCTTGAAGCCTAGAAGGTTAGCCTTAACTAAGGAGAAATAGAGATTGGACTAGAAAGAGACAGAAGTGGGAGAAAAATAACCTTGTGTAAAGTCTAGAATAGAGAGCAAACCAAGAGTGAAAAGGGTTTCCTATGTACTTTAGTTTGAAAATTCCAAGCCAAAACCCTTCACTATTGCATCCACCTTATAGTCATCAAACTCCCAGTGCCTATGACTGAAAGGAGGATGTAGGAAATAACTTCACTTGATGGAAGCACCGTAATATCGTCTTACAAGAAAGTATCTTGCTCACACGAAGACAGCACCATGGGAATAAAGAGTGCATTATATATTGCATCAATGATCCAATCGAAGCGCTCGTATATTGAAAAGGTTTCACTTCGTCTAAGTGACATAAATCTTCAAGATCTTGATATTCTTAGATTGTCAGAAATGATCCAGAGCTAGACACAATCATGTCACCATTTTTTCACGGCTAAAGATGCAAGCCTTTATTTCGATGGAGAAAACACAGTGCAAGCTAATGCCACCTAAGCAGAACTGTGTTGCGCCTTCGACGATTCAATCGAAGCGCTTCTTTCTTCAAAATTATTGCCGTCATCTAAGTGACATACATTTTCTAGATCTTGACTTTCTAATATCATTAGAATGGATCGAGATCTATACACAATCGGGTCACCCTTTTTTCAGGCCTTAAGCTGCAGGGCTTTATTTCGGTGGAGAGTACATAGTTCGAGCTGATGGCACCAACGCAGAACTGTCGCGCACGTTCAGTTCTCGACCTGTGTCATGGACTCGTAAATTGCTCCTTGTGCTGTCAGCCAGGCGACTTTCTCCGCATCAGGCACACCTTGAAGAGCCAACAAGAGATCGGTAACGTCTGACATCTTGATAACATAAGTGCCTTTGGATTCATGGTCTTTGTAGAATAGAGTATTGGGCTTGCTCAGACTTGTGCACTTAGTCGACGTCTCTTCAGGGCCATCGCCCAGAAGCGCGCGACGCCTGCGACAGGTATTCAACCATTTGGCACCTGTAAAGGCTCCATTGAGGCAAGCGTTGCCCGCGGATGTGCCTGCTTGGGTGGTGCATTGGCCGCCTTTATAGACAACGTCGCTGTAACAGGTCATAGGGGCGTCGTATGTAAACTGCACCGACGACAGGAGTGTAGGGGCAACATTAGAGCAGCAGGTGCCTGCAGTGAGGTTGGTGCATGTCACACCCAGGCCACCAGTACAGCCAGGTAGAACATGGAACTGCACATCCATGGCTGCAGCAGGATGCACCTTCACCAACGCCAACACCAACACCAAGAGGCCAAATAAGGACTTCATAGTTTCTGCCTTCAGCATTTCTGTACTCTGAGTGGATTGCTTTTGAGATCTCATACACCTGCACAGCAGATACATAAGCCGTACCATTCACCGTTAACAAAGTTAGAATATTCAAAGATTGGACTAATGTGATAAGATGTTTCGTCGTTTGAATGCTGTGAAGACCTCCACATGCTTTGACGACCGGAACGAATGCTTGGATTCTTCGGACGGCAAGTGTGATCAACTGAGCTCTATTAGCTCCGGAGTGAATGTATACACATGCATACGTACATATATAGTGCAGACGCCTGACTGTGTGTGCTGTTCGAAGACGAAAATAGAAGGTTGCATTCCCTAGTTTGGTATATCCATCGAATAATCGGACGACAAAAGATGGAAACTCTCCTATACCTCAATCGCTCATTTATGAAGATGTTGAAAATTTCAATCCTGGTCATGCATACAACGATATGCAGCCCAGTACTAAAACCAAGGGGCCCTCATTGGTGTACTTACCAGTCGAGTGGAAACAGAGCTCAACTTCTTGCTGCGCTGTGGGTTGAATGAAGTGTCATGCGAACGACGTAACCTTATATACTTGCCTCGCCTATGACTGGCTGAAAGGACTTCAAGCTTGGCACCTGCTCAGAGACAGCCTATAATCTTGAGCCGCTGTGTTTCGTTGGTGAGATCTGTGTCGCTGACTAAGTCAAAGTTATCGGTCCTGATAAACAAGCGGTGCTTCGCAAACGACATTTCTGTGATGCTTGTACAGTAGATACTTATGAGGTGATAAAAACAGGTAATTGTGGAAGATGCGAAGGATCCTTCGGGAACCAATCAAGTTCTACTTTCATATACTTGCATTGACATTCGGTCCATGACATACGATGCTCTTCATATGCACTTTAGTTGGACGTCTCGTCCGTAACTTCACTTTTGATGCACTTCGTCTTTTTCCGTGTCTTTTCTTTTGTATATGTGTCCGAAAACTGGAAAAGCCAGATACTTTCAGCCATCTAGCTTCAAGCATCATTGGTGATCAGCAGTCCGTGACACACATTTCAGCTGGTTGTAAAGGAGTATGCGTGTTAGGCAAGAAGTCGACGAGTTAGATTATATGATTATCCTCATTACCTGTTCCCAGTTTCTAAATCCTGAGAGGCACGGACACATAAATGTCACAACCAGATTATAAAGCATCGGTACAAAGGTTGACACCGGTATTAGACTCATATGTAAACGACATGCTTTGCTGAGCCAATCTGAAGAGATGAGTACATGTATACATGTGAATTCACTCTCGAGTCAACGATGAGCTGCAGATAGGACAAAATATGACAGGTTTCGAGTTTTCTCACAACTTTCACCTCCAACAGGATTACGAAACCCGCTTTCGGCTACTCGCTTCCAAACCTTTATGGATCTCGAAGCCCAGAACCCTCGCAATCTACTGTTGTTATCCAGCTGAAAGTTACATCAGACGATTGTGAGCCGCATCATACGATCGTGTCCAGCATATGTAGCTAGTACTTGGAACCACGCACCGCACCCGCAACAGTATGAGACTCGGTGTGATTACCGAGAAGCAAGCACCCAGCGGCATGTCTGGTGTCGCTTCCATCCCAACCAGTCCCATTTCGACTAGTTGCTTCTCTAAATCATTTGCTTTTCACGCTCCGAAGATTTGACTGACATGGCTGACATGCCGCATTATACTGGTCCCATACAGGATCCCAACTCCCAATTTATATAGTAATTTATTGTTCAGATTGACACGAACAGTGATGTCTTGGAGAAATTGCAGTCTATGCTCTTGGTGTCATTCATAACTGGCAACGAATGATCGAACGAAAGAGAAAGAGAGAGAGAGAGAGAGATCAGATCACACTTGCGTGCTTTCATTGGATGTCTTCACTACATTGCTTCCACATTCAGCTCTATCCGTTTAGCTATCTACAAGATCGACTGCCGACAACAGTTTAACTAGGTCACAGAAGACAAAGACCTCGAGTGAAAGCTGATCCCTGAAGTTAGTTCCTGACCGAGGGAATCTACACACGTCCACCTTTATTCTGACAGCATCGTTTAATGTGACTAACAGGAAATATTGATAATATATTTTCATAAACCTTATGGACAGAGGTGAGGAGCGCGTATTACCTTTCTCGTTGCTGCTTTGTTGACCGAAGAGCCATCGTTGCTTGACATGAGAAAACTCTCCCAACCGTCATCTCATATCGTGGAAGTGATTTATTGTCTCTGTAGCTTCTTCTTTTGAAAGCCGGGTGATACCGGTCCATTTTCTACATCTCTATTTCATGAGTCGTGAGGTGATGAAAAAATTCATGTAAGCTGCTCACTCCTTGCTGACAGCCCACTCATCCCCTTTTTTTTTATCAAGTCTGCTAGACACGGTGAAGTGCGCACATGAAATAATATCTTAGTTTTACTTCATGTTCACAATGAACCTTGAAAATAGTGATTTGTGCAACAACTGATTGAGAAATAGAGTTGAAACATAAGCCTAATGCTAGGAACGTGCACAACCATTTGAACCCACGAGCGGATTGATAACAATCCATATTGGACCTACAGTTTAATGCAAACTATGAGTCCTTCTTCCTGGCTATCATCCATTGAAAGTTCCCATATGCACCTTACATCTGCTGCATCAGAACCATCATCAGAATAAGTTGATCGATTGTTCACGATGCTGACAAAATATTGCTGATTATCCACTGGACTGCCGATTCAATTTCAAGTAAATTATAACCTTGGTCCTGCTTCGGGCTTCAAAACAGCATTGAGTAGAATTTCACTGACTACCAGCTTCTGATCTAGTACAATGCACACGAGGTTTCTCAGAGAAGAAGCTTCTTTTAATCACCGTGCGGTCCAAGGTTAGTGTGTTGCGTTCTTTTCGTCGCCGTATTTCAAAACAGGTACTGCAGAACGAAGGAATCTGTCTATGCTCTCGACCTCGGACGTTGCATTGTACACGAAACATTTTAATAGCAATCACTGCAAATGTTTTAGTCTCAATTTTCTTCAAGTTGAAATCATGGAGTCAGTTTGAAGTTGAACATGCTTCTGCTGGACGTGTCAGCATGTAGTCATGGACCTCTGAAGAATGAAAATTTGTGGATTCAAATTAATTTGAAAGTCGGTTTTGAACACGTTGCTGGGCTTATAGATTATTTCAGGACTTTCTTCTTCTGCAGATGCTCTAGAATCAGATATTGCTTTCGAAGGTAATTAGCCAAGAGCTCCAGAGAAAAATAGCGCTGAATATTGTCTGAGAAGCATGGAAAAAGATGTAGAGTTCACACATTTTAACACATTACAATGTTGGATTTGCAAAGCTGATATCAGCTTAGTTCAAAAATGCTATGGTACTATGGTCCATGCTTGCTCGAGCGTGTCTTGGAAATCAACTCCAACTCTTAAAAAAATAAAAGACCTGAAGAAAGGAGACGTCGAGAGGGCTAGATCGGGTTTAAACACTTAGTTAAATCAAGTCCGTAGCCAATACATGTGCCAGCAAGGTGAGAAACATGATTATCCACCGCTGGTCTCTGTATTCTTATTTTATCTCCTGGACAATCGTGCCACCTTTGTCCATGCACGTGAGGTTCTAGAAGAAGTGAAAATATTCATGCCATTCTCCTCGTCGTGCTCCGCATAACATAACAGGTCGAAAAACTTGGTGTAAGCACGTAAGCCGACAATGCAAATGTGAATGGCTCTCTGTCCAAGTCTTTTGCTAGGGAAAAATGGCCAACCTGATACCGAAATCGAGCAGCAAGAAACTAGACAGTAGTTTTCTAGAGATATTAGAACAGCACCAGTCAAGTGGTCACAGGAAACAAGAATAAGTTATTCGAAATGAATAATCGAGCAAATGCAGATATCGTGGCCAATTTCGTGCTACCAGATCCTTTGATGAAGAAGTGATTCAATCCACCTTAGAAGCCAACAGGATGAAAAATCCAAACTTCTTTTGGTTCTAGGATGGAGGAGCTTGATATAACTAGCTCACCAAGGTCTAACTCCATCAGCGGGCCTGTCACAATTTGTTCACCCCGTTAGACAAGGAAGAGTGAGTGACTTGACCGGAGAAGCTTTGCAAACAATTCTCTCATCTACCTTTCATTTTTGGCAGATGCCATCTCGGTGATTTGTTTCACTTGAAACATGATGATGCATGCTTCTGATCTTCAATCTTCCCAGGTCCGATAGGGAAAAAATTCGAATACATGTCCAAGGCGGAAGGAGAAGAAGATGCCTGTACTTGAATAAATGGCATTTAAATTATATTTATGCTTAAATACGTTCAAATATTTAGAAAAAATGGTTTCATACATGTTAGCTTGATGCAAGTTTGGATAGAGAATACATGAACAAAAAATATTAACACAATTTACGAAATTTGGAAAAAAATTTCTCAACGATGTACAAAATGATTGCTTTCTTACACATAACAGTTGGGTGAAGCTTTCCATCATTCTGGACAAGCTTAAGCTTAATTTTATATTAAGTCCGTAAGAAAACACGGTACCTGATGTCATTTTGGTTTACCCATGTTGGACCCTTCAATTGCCCTTTTCGACTGTCTTCTTGTAAAAGACTCGGGATGAGTTTGACTTAAAGCGATTCGCTGCGTTGGTAAAAAATTTCGTTCACCAACTATCTCATACATTTCTTGCTACACTATGGGTGGAACCTCTCTTTGATATCCATTCTTACAAGTATCAAGGCAAATTTACTCTCACTTATCCTAATTAAGATTAGAGTACCTTTGAACAATGTTTCAGGTAGGAGATTTCCTTTGTCAACCGCGTGAAATCGAGCTTTCTATCTTTCTGTCAATGATCTGGATTTTATTTAAAAGAAACATCTTCATTGAGCATTATTTTGCAACTAACATGACATGATAACTTAGTCTTTTTGGTATTCAAAATAAACACATTTTGTGACCTTAGGACCAATTAGTCATATTTACTATGAGAAAAAAGAGCATAAACATGAAAATCAAATATTCTATCTATAGAGTAACCTCATAACCATTCGTGGCATAATTCAATGAGCTCTTATAATGTATTGCACTACAAAGTGATAAGAATATTACATACACTGTGGTATCGACATCTTTAACCCATAAGTTTTAGTGTTATCCAACTTGAGTCAACACTCTCCTTGACCATTTCAATGATGTCCTGTTGAGTCTCTCAGCAACGCCATCGTGCTCCATATGTTTAATATCATCATTTTACAGAGTGTTGTGATATGACGAGTTATTTTCTCCTTCTCACAATACTTCTCAAATTCAGTTAAGATGTTCTCCTAATTATTCTCGTGCGTGATTCTTCACTTCTTATCAATATGAGTCTTAAAAAGGGCCCTCAATTGAGTGAAAATGTAAGGCTTTATTCCTAATATCCGGGAAACAGATTCATACATTTCTTGAGTTGTCCTCATCAAAACTTGCAAAATATATCAAATTACAATGCAAGGGAGAATACAGAGAAGAACCTTTTAAGTCGGAATTAGAAAAATTATAGAACAGTCAAAGAGCTATGCACTCAAATACCATATACACGTCATCGATGTATACAAATTACCTTTCTTCCAAAACTCCAACTTAAACTTCCTCATTTGGGCCAAAAAAACTGTGTGTAGGATAATGAGAGCTTTCTGACTCACGTGGTCAAATTATGCATGCCACAAATGAGTGACTTCATTTTGAAATATAATAAGAAATGGTTTGTCAATTATCGTTCTCAACTATACATAGCCCCCAGGTACTAGATACAAAACCCATCTAACCTAATCATGGTTGAGCTAACTATGGCTCTGCCAGTTATTGTACTCCTTAACTACATATACCCCCGAGGTACTAGATAACATACCTAGCTATACTAATCAAGGTTGAGCTAACTATGGTTAAGAAGCAAAAGAATTAACCATTCAGATTTAAGGGGATATGTCATAAATTTCCGACATTTTCTAGCTAGCTTTGAAAATGAAGTAACCACCATAAGCAGATAGCTTCGTAGAATGGAGAAGAAACCTGGCGGGTACTAGAGGACTAGTACTCAACTAAGATCTCATAAAATGTGTCGAGAAGATTAACAAACTTCTGACATGTTGAGAACTAGAATCATCCGATTCTAGTTCTCAAAGCCATGTTTGGAACCTTCAGGGGTTTGAGTTTTAGCAAAAGATTGGGGAGGCCCGAGTGGAGACTCGTCGATGTAATACGCCTGGCCTCCATGGCTGGTGAGATCCATACCCTCCATTTCGTCTTCTGGAGAGATTCTGAGCAGGCTACTCTTGTTCAGAAACCAGAAACAAGGGACCATGGTGACAGTGACCCACCCCATGACAACGAGAATTTCCACGAGCTGGGCCGCCAGAAGCCTGCCTCCCCCTCCCATGAAGAGGCCGTGTCCACGCCCGGGACCATAACCCTCGAGCACGTACTTCTCCCGAGCGAAGAGGCCAGTGAAGAGCAGGCCCCAGGCACCGCAGCCCCCATGCAGCTGCGCAGCCTCCAGAGGATCGTCGTACTTGGCCTTGTTCGCGAGGTAATTGAACCCCATCAGAACCCAAGCCGCTCCGAACCCGCAGATGATCGCAGCCCAGGGCTCCACCACTGCACATCCTGCAGTGATGGCCGCGAACCCGCCCAGCAATCCGTTGCAGACATCCGTCACATTCCAGTGCCCAGTGAACCACCTGCGAGCGAACAAAGTGGTCAGAGCTGCAGCACAGCCCGCGAGAGTGGTGGTGACTCCAGTCCTGCCGACTCCACTCCAGTTGCCCTCGAAGCTGGAGCCTTCGTAGGGGACGACGATTTTCACGTACGAGCCGGGGTTGAATCCGAACCATCCGAACCAGAGCAGAAAGCTGCCCAGCACCACGAGCGACGCGTTGTGTCCCTTCATGTCCATGCCGGGCTTGCCATCCCTGGTGTACTTGCCCAACCTCGGACCTTCGATGTACGCTCCCCAGAGCCCAGCGATGCCTCCCACCATGTGCACGACGCCACTCCCCGCAAAATCTATGGCTCCCACTCCGAACAGGCGGCTCGTGGCTGCGGCCCCCAGCCATCCGTCGACCGACCAGACCCAGTGCGCGACGATCGGGTACACGAAGCCCGTGAGGAACGACGAGTAGACGAGGTAGGCGACGAACTGCGTGCGCTCGGCGATGGAGCCGCTGGTGATTCCGGCCGCAGCGATGGCGAACGACCACTGGAACAGGAAGAAGCTGTAATCGAAGCCATTGACCTCGCTCGGCATGTCCTTGAGCGCGTAGAAGTTGCTGCCGATGAATCGATTGCTCTGCGCGCTGCGGCCGAAGGCGAAGCCGAAGCCGAAGAGGTAGAAGGAGATTCCGCCCGCTGCAGCGTCCAGGACGTTCGTCATCATGATGTTCATGGTGTTCTTGGCCCGCACGGACCCCGCGCACAGCATGGCGAACCCGATCTGCATGGAGAAGACCAGGTACGTGGAGAACAGCAGGTAGATGCTGTCCACGGCCAGCGTGTGGCTCGACAGGGTGGCCGACACTCCGTCGAATTTCGAGCACAGCAGCTCGCCCACTTGGCTCGAGCTCGCATTGTTGAGCCCCGATGCCGCCAGCAGCCCCGTCAGGACGCTCAGATCACCGTCCACGCAGCCCGCCATCTTGTCCAACCGCTTCGGCCTCCACTCTCAAGCTCTGTCACGCAGCTTGCAACGCTCGGACGCGGAAGTCCAGCCTAATTACCGACGACAATTGATTCGGCTCGGTACAAATCATGGACGTCTAGATCGGAATTATAGAGAAAAGTTGGGGGCCCATATTGCATCTCAAGGCACCTTCGAGCCTTCACAAGCGGAGCTGCTCGTGGAGAATCGAAGTTGAGATGATGGATCTCTTGCCAAAGTTCCTGCTATATATAATGCAGCCGAGCGAGCCATGGGCGGAGCTTGGGTTGCACATTCGAGTGAGCAGAGTTCGAGTCCGGTATTTTGGGACGGGTAGATTCGGTGATGGTGACGGTGGTGATGATGATGTTGCAGATTCCGAGTTACAGAGGTCAAGATGGCGCTGGAGTTGCAGAGTGCCTTTGTACTGCACGAGGACTTGCGGTCGGTTCGGAAATTCTGAGACTCGTCCGCGCTCGGTTTCATAAGCTGAGCCAGCTCGATGTCCATCTCAGATTCTAAAGGGCAGTCTAAATATGGCCTTCCTTTCGTACACACTCAGTGTATCAAGGAGGTTTTTGACGTAAGATTCTCCACACAGTTTATTTCAGTGTTCACTTTCTGGAATCCAGATCTTAATGAACTGCCTGATTAGTCAGTTGACAATTTTGACTGCTACCTTGATTTCCGGATTCGCAAGAGCTGAATAGGTAAGTATTCCAACTGTCAAGAATCGTCGCTGTTCAGAATTACTCAGAACGCATATCTCAGTGATCATTCCGTTTTCTTCTTTTTGATTCTTTTTGAGTCACCAGCTTGTTGACGTGAATTAACTCGGCACACCGGGAGGAACATCTGAAATTTTTTTCTCCCCGTCTTTATCACATACTTTCAGGCAAGAGAAGGAAAGTGGAAGATGTTTCTGCAGGTGAATCAAATGCCGTGTACTTCCGGGAAGCAGATCTGGACTGTACCAGCTTGCGAGTGCGTTCAGTGTACACAAGCTATATCAGATTTAACCCCAATACCCTTGCGAGTTCTTGCCCACTCCCATCGGTGCTGCAAGCAGTAGTAGTACATTGTGAACCTTTCCCTACATATTACGTGTCTATGCGTAGTCCACAACCAACAGTTCACAAGCAGTCAAAGAGATATTTTCCTAAATTCTCTACGGCTTGTAGATCAAGATACAAGTTCTCAGCTTTTTCCTAAACTGGACTATGTAGATTTTAGTTATCAAACAGTTCAGCTCAAAAGAGCCGAACGTCCCCTTTCATTCAAGAGTTCAATGCGATGCGCAGATTCTCAAGCTCTGTGAGGAACTCTTCCACGTCGGTTTTTTGCATGATGCATAATTTTAACCTCATAAAGAATGAAGCTGTGAAGATTGTCCTGAGGGAAAAACAATCGTGCATTGTCCGGCTGACAGACCACGAGGGCCAGTTTATTGATGCCCAAATATCTCTTTTCCACCATGTGTTCATGCCTGCATAACCGGCAATTTGGAGAGACATTTCGGAGGAAGCTTTCCCTATATCTGAAACCATACAAGTGGCATCTCCGAACCATATTGTCTTCATCACTAACACACACAATGCTTGAACCCTTTGGCGATAAAATATGCTGTTAATGTTGGATTACACAAGCCGTTGCTTTGCCATTTTGCGTAATTGCCAACTTTCACTTGTCACTTGAAACTTGTAGTTCAAGCAATGACTGTCAAATCGGAATCACTAATATCAAATCTGGCTACATACATTGCGCTATAAAAAACCTTTGCTAAGAAGTTTGATCACATGATTGTGCAATCTTGATGCGTGTACGATGTTTTTAACAGCCTTGAGAATCAAATGATATCACATGACTGTCTAATTTAGAGGTGTCTACTGCAAATCTTAATAACCTTGACTATCATATGGAATTGCAAAATGGGCATGATTGAGTGCATTGGCTTTGTTGATAAAAGTTTTAACTATCGAACCATGTAACACAACTGTTAAATCTGAATGCTGACTGTTGAATCGTTTGGTCGTTCATTGTTAGCACGGGTGCATGACTACCTTGAAATACTTCATTGTCATTTGCTAGTTTTCCAAAACCTCTTTGCAAGTTTTGTAACTCTTGCAAGTACCCACTGCTAAACATTGACACTATTATACCTCGCAATAATCTATCCTAACCTATATGATCTAGTTCTCTTACACGGCAATGCGTGTTGAATTCCAGGACGAGCTTATGGGGCTTCGGTACGTCGCAGGTACAACCGAAATTTCCAGCGAACTTGATTTCTTATATCGTCGAGTTACATGAGGAACCTTTGATAACTGTTTTCAAGATCTTCAGACTTGTCCTGATAAAAAAATCACACTCCGAAGTTTTCGAAATCTGCCAGAGTGGCATGCGCCAAATGTAAGCCTACGGAACATACCGGCTCAAAGAGGGAGTCAGATATGGCTGACCGCTAGCTATGGATCTCGAGCGACAGTGTTATTACTTGCAACCAAGACGCACATTAGACACCATTACACACTTCCCAGTTCATTTTGTATTCTCTTCTAGAAAAATGGTTCTGGACCTCAGAATAAGGTCGGTGAAATATGACAGGATTATTTCTTGTCACTATTTCAATCTGTAAATCCGTCATTTCAGAATGCTATGTACATTGGGTCCCGTAGTGGCTCAGGTCGTAGAGAGGTACTCCGAGGGAGATAGCATGCTTCGTCGCCAGATTCTGACAATAAGAGTCCACAGCACTTCTCATTCGGGACTGTGGCCATATAAACTGAGTTCGCCGTAACGTAGGAAGGTAGTTGTATACCAGCCAGGGAGATGCAAGTCTTTGAAAGAGAAAATATATACGACTGAGACTCAAGTGTTCGAGAATCAAAATTTCTTCATATGAACGGAAAGTTCTCCTTTGCATAATCAACACGTGGTCACGGAACTATTTAAAGATTGTCATTACTACAGATAAGTAATGAGTGTTCACGTAGCATATACGTAAACGTTTGATGGGCAAGAGTCGGCCAAGTCCTGGCCGCCAGAATGTCCCAGATCAGACTCACATTTTGGTGTTTTATAGTCGGGAAGAGAAGTAGGGATCGCAATTCGTTGTCTGATCAATATTCAGGATTCTTGATCTGCGAACCTCCAGACCTGCCCCTAAGAACCTGCACAATCATGTATCCATATCTAGTGCAGTCAGTATCGTCCCTGTATTGTGTAGCCTGTATTTGGATTTAGGAAGTGAGGATCTCGCTCATTCTTTCTATATTTGGAGTTTCAGGCAAGCGGTCCTGTGTTTCGAATAGAGCATGTCGAGTCTTCGTGGCGCAAGTAAACTCAAGGCTCGAACATACACGTGACTCAGCAGTTTATCTAAATTGCTGTTCATGTACTTGACTATAATATCGAGTTTTTCAGACCTCACGGCACCCTGACGAAGTCCTAGCTTCCATAAAGAGTTCTAAGTCTGCGACTCTGGAGACATCCATCTAATCTGAAAAGAGTTGGTCTTTCAACAATTAACTAGTCAAAATGTAAGGAAAATTTACTGCAAAAATCGACTTATTATTGCAGCCTTAATTTTCACTTTTATATGCTTTCTTTTCTCACATTTTGGTGTCAGGATTTAGGCTGACTACTTCAGAGATCCAAATTCGAGATTCTTATGGCTTGACTTCAACATCCATTGTCAAATCTCTACATTCCAATATTCGTCCATGACCTGTCGTTCTGCAGAACCTTATAACGTATCTGGAACAGCCGCCTGCGATATTCCAAACAATACACTTTCCTTCCTATAGAAGCACATATAGAGAATTGTTCCATTATTCGACTTACTTATTATCAATGGCTTTCATGAATGAAATGCAGTTAAATGACTCAGACAAAAAGCTACTGTGATCGTTGGGTTTTGCAATAGTTTCATGACTCCTGTCAGAGTATATTTGAAGGTCGTTGAGCTCTAACTTTTTGGAAGCAGCTGTAGGCTGTAGTACTGAAGCCGAGACATCTACTTGGGTCACTTCAACAACAAGGCTACTCCAAATTATAAATCGTGTTTAATTGTATGTGCCACTCGTGGCCTTGAAGCCTAGAAGGTTAGGCTTTACTAAGGTGGAATAGAGATTGGACTAGAAAGAGACAGAAGTGGGAGAAATATAGTCATGTGTAAAGTCTAGAAAAGAGAGTAGACGAAGAGTGAGAAGGGTTTCATCTGTACTTTAGTTCGAAAATTCCAAGCGACAACCCTTTACTATTGCATCCACCTAATAGTCATCAAACCCCCAGTACCTATGACTGAAAAGGAGGATGTAGGACATAGCTTCACATGATGCAAGCACCGTAATATCGTCTTACAAGAAAGTCTTACACGAAGACAGCAACATGGGAATAAAGAGTGCATACTATATTGCATCAATGATCCAATCGAAGCGCTCGTATATTGAAAAGGTTTAACTTCATATAGGTGACATACAACTTCAAGATCTTGACATTCTTAGATTATCAGAATTGATCGAGAGCTAGACACAATCATGTCACCAATTTTTCAAGGCTAAAGCTGCAAGCCTTTATTTCGATGGAAATAACACAGTGCAAGGTGATGGCACCTTAGCAGAACTGTCTTGCGACTTCGACGATTCAATCGAAGCGCTTGTTTGTTCAAAAGGATTGCCTTCATCTAAGTGACATACATTTTCTAGATCTTGACTTTCTAATATTATTAGAATGGATCGAGATCTATACACAATCGGGTCACCCTTTTTTCATGCCTTAAGCTGCAGGGCTTTATTTCGGTGGAGAGAACATAGTTCGAGCTGATGGCACCAACGCAGAACTGTCGCGCACGTTCAGTTCTCGACCTGTGTCATGGACTCGTAAATTGCTCCTTGTGCTGTCAGCCAGGCGACTTTCTCCGCATCAGGCACACCTTGAAGAGCCAACAAGAGATCGGTAACGTCTGACATCTTGATAACATAAGTGCCTTTGGTTTCATGGTCTTTGTAGAATAGAGTATTGGGCTTGCTCAGACTTGTGCACTTAGTCGACGTCTCTTCAGGGCCATCGCCCAGAAGCGCGCGACGCCTGCGACAGGTATTCAACCATTTGGCACCTGTATAGGCTCCATTGAGGCAAGCGTTGCCCGCGGATGTGCCTGCTTGGGTGGTGCATTGGCCGCCTTTATAGACAACGTCGCTGTAACAGGTCATAGGGGCGTCGTATGTAAACTGCACCGACGACAGGAGTGTAGGGGCAACATTAGAGCAGCAGGTGCCTGCAGTAAGGTTGGTGCATGTCACACCCAGGGCACCGGTACAGCCAGGTAGAACATGGAACTGCACATCCATGGCTGCAGCAGGATGCACCTTCACCAACGCCAACACCAACACCAAGAGGCCAAATAAGGACTTCATAATTTCTGCCTTCAGCATTTCTGTACTCAGAGTGGATTGCTTGTGAGATCTCACACACCTGCACACCAGATACATAAAAATTATAAGCCGTAACATTCACCGGTAACGAAGTTAGAATATCCAAAGATTGGACTAACGTGACAAGATATTTCATCGTTTGAATGCTTTGAACGACCGGAACGAATGCTTGGAGTCTTCAGATGTCAATGCACATGCACATGCAATTCTTCTTGCACATGCTCACGTTCATATATAGTGCAGACGTCTGATTCTGTGTGTGCTGTTCAAAGACGAAAATAGAAAGTTGTATTCCCTAGTTACGGCATAGCCATCGAATAATTGGAGGACAAAAGATGGGAAACTCTCGTGCACCTCAATCGCTCATTTATGAAGATATTGAAACTTTCAATCCAGGTCATGCAAACAACAATATGCCGCCCAGTACTAAAACCAAGGGGCCCTCGTTAGTGTACTTACCAGTCGAGTGCAAACAGAGCTCAACTTCTTGCTGCGCTGTGGGTTGAATGAAGTGTCATGAGGACGACGTAACCTTATATACTTGCCTCGCCTATGACGGGCTGAAAAGACTTCAAGCTTGGCACCTGCTCAGATACAGGCTATAATCTTGAGCCGCTGTGTTTCGTTGGTGAGATCTGTGTCGCTGACTAAGTCAAAGTTAACGGTCCTGATAAACTTGGTGCTTCGCAAACGACATTTCTATGATGCTTCTACAGTAGATACACATGAGGTGATAAAGAGGTTCTTTTGTGGAAGATGCGAAGGATCCTTCGGGAACCAATCAAGTTCTACTTTCATATACCTGCATTGAAATTTGTTCCATGACATACAATGCAGTTCATATGCACTTTAGATGGACGTCTCGTCCGTAACTTCACTTTTGATGCACTTCGTCATTTTCCGTTTTAATTCTCATGGATATGTGTCCGAAAACGCGAAAAGCCAGATCCTTTTAGCCATCTAGCTTCAAGCATCATTGATGATCATCAGTCCGTGACACACATTTCAATTGTTTGTAGAGGAGTATGCGTGTAAGGCAAGAAGTCGACGAGTTCATTTATATGATTATCCTCATTACCTGTTCCCAGATTCTACATCCTGAGAGGCACGGACACATAAATGTCACAACCAGATTACAAAGCATCGGAACAAAGGTTGACAACGGTACTAGACTCATATGTAAACGACATGATTTGCCGAGTCAATTTGAAGAGATGAGTACCTGAATACATATGAATTCAATCTCGAGTCAACGATGGGTTGCAAATAGGACAAAAATCTGACAGGTTTCGAGTTTTCTCACAACTTTCACCTCCAACAGAATTACGAAACCCCCTGTCGGCTACTCGCTTCAAAACCTTTATGGATCTCGAAGCCCAGAACCCTCGCAATCTACTGTTATTATCCAACTAAAAGTTACATCAGACGATTGTGAGCCGCATCATACGATCGTGTCCAGCATATGGAGCTAGTACTTGGAACCACGCACCGCACCCGCAACAGTATGAGACTCGGTGTGATTACCGAGAAGCAAGCACCCAGCGGCATGTCTGGTGTCGTTTCCATCCCAACCAGTCCCATTTCGACGAGTTGCATCTCTAAATCATTTGCTTTTCACGCTCCGAAGATTTGACTGACATGGCTGACATGCCGCATTATACTGGTCCCATACAGGATCCCTACTGCCAATTTGTATAGTAATTTATTGTTCAGCATTGACACGAAAATGATGTCTTGGAGAAATTGCACTCTATGTTCCTTGGTGTCGTTCACAAGTGGCAACGATCGAAAGAAAGAAAGAGAGAGAGAGAGCAGATAACACTTGCGTGCTTTCTTTGGATGTCTTCACTATATTGCTTCCACATTCAGTCTATCCGTTTCTTCATGTAAAGCTATGTACATGATTGACAGCCGACAACAGTTTAACTAGGTCACAGAAGACGAAGACCTCGAGTAAAAGCTGATCCCTGAAGTTAGTTCCTGACCCAGGGAATCCACCTTTATTCTGACAGCATCGTTTAATGCTACTCACAGGAAATGATGATTATATATTTTCAAACCTCATGGGCAGAGGTGAGGTGCGCGCGTCTACCTTTTTCGTTGTTGCTTTGTTAACCGAAGAGCCATCGCTGCTCGACATGATAAAATTGTCCCAACTGTCATCTCATATCGTGGAAGTGATTCATAGTTTCTGTAGTTTCTTGTTTTGAAAGGCGGGTGCTACCGGTCCCTTTTATACATCTACATTTCATGAGGAATCGTGAGCTGATGAAAGAAGTCATGTAAGCTGCTCACTCCTTGCTGACAGCCCACTCAGTTCTTTTTTTGGATTCAAGTCTGTAAGACACGGAGAAATTCGCATATGAAGTAAAATCTTAGTTTTACTTCATGTGATTTGTGCAACAACTGATTGAGAAATAGAGCTGAAACATAAGCCAAATGCTGAGAACATGCACAACCATTTGAAACCACGTGCGGATTTAAAACAATCCATATTGGACCTAAAATTCATTGCAGACTCTGAGTCCTTCCTTGTTCCTAGCTATCTATCATCCATTAAAAATTCACATGTGCACCTTACATCTGCTGCATCAGAACCATCCTCAGAATAAGGTGATCGGTTATTCACGATGCTGACAGAATATTGTTGATTATCCACTGCAGTGCTTTCAATTTCATGGAAATTGTAACTTTGGTCCTGCTTCGGGCTTCAAAACAGCATTGAGAAGAACTTCACTGATTGCCAGCTTCTGATCTAGTACAATGAACAGCACACGATGTTTCATAGTAAAGAAGCTTCTTTTAATAACCATGCGGTCCAAGGTTAGTGTATTGTATTATTCTCGTGGCCGTAATTTAAAGCAGGTACTGCAGAACGAAGGAGTCTGTCTATGTTCTCGACCCCGGACGTTTCATTGTACACGAAATTTTGATAGCAATTAGTGAAAATGTTTTGGTCTCAGTTGCTTCAAGTTGAAATCATGGAGTCAGTTTGAAGTTGAACATGCTTCTGCTGGACGTGTCACCATGTAGTCATGGACCTCTGAAGAATGAAAATGTATGGATTGAAATTAATACGAAAGTCGATTTTGGACTTGCGCGGATTGGACACGTTGTTGAGATTATGAATTTCAGCTTTTTTTGTCCTGCTGATACTCTAGAAGCAGATTAATTTTGCTTTCGAAGGTAATTAGCCAGGAGCTCCAGAGCAAATTAGCGCTGAATATTGTCTGATTGAAGCATGGAAACAGATGAACGGTTGACACATTTTTACACATTGAAACGTTGGATTTGCAGAGCTGATATCAGCTTAGTTCAAGAATGCTATTGTACTATGGTCCATGCTTGGGAAATCCTCGAGACCTGAAGAAAGGAGACGTCGAGAGGGATAGATCGGGTTAAAAAACTTAGTTAAAATTGAGTGCGTGGCCAATACTAGAGCCAGCAAGCTGAGAAACATGAATATCCACCGCTGGTCTCTGTATTCTTATTTCATTCCCTGTACTATCGTGCCACCTTTACCCATGCACGTGAGGTTCTAGAAGAAGTGAAAATATTCACGTCATTCTCCTCGTCGTGCTCCGCATAACACACCAGGTCGAAAAACTTGGTGTAAGTACGTAAGCCAACAATGCAAAAGTGGATGGCTCTCTGTCCAAGTCTTTCGCTAGGAAAAAATGACCAACCTGATACCGAAATCGAGCAATAAGAAAGTTACCAGAAGTTTTCTAGAGCAATTGAACAGCACCCCTCAAGTGGTCACAGGAAACAAGAATAAGTTTAGTATTTGAGTTGAATAATTGAGCAAATGCTAAGCTCGGGTTCGGGAAAATTCGAGTGCGGGTAGAGGGCTGTAACCGACCCGAAAATCAATAAAGCAACTACCAATAAGAGCTAAGCTGCAAGCCCAGGCGGTCCGTCGTCCTAAGCATCGGCTTCCGCTCCGTCTTTCGATCCAGGCACCCGCTCCATTGCTCGCTCGCTTCCCCTTCTATCTGGGTGCTCTACCTGTGCTGCTCGCCCTGACTCCTCGAAATATTATTGCATTACCTCCTCGTCAAGAAAATACTAGTCGCTCCGATTCTCCCTCGCCCGTTCCTCCACTCGCCGTCCACTCACGATCAACATATCCGGGTTCTATCCAAATTGACCCGAATCCGACCCAGGTTGAAGGTCAAACCCGACCCGATCGGAGCTCTAGCAAATGCCAATATCGTCGCCACTACAGTTGCTACCCTGTACTTTTGATGAAGAGGTGAGTCAATCCACATTAGAAGCCAACAGGACGAAAAACCCAAACTTCTTTTGGTTCTTGGTGTCAGAGTAAGAATGTTCATTGTGAAAGAGCTCTTGTTTATTGTCACGTTACTTCTTTATGTACAGTTTGAGATTCACACCACCGATACTTCAGCGGCCTATCACCTAATTTGTTTCCTATCTACTGCTACATAGCAGTGTGACTACCACGTCATGATTTCGAGGAGTGTTTCTTCTAACACCTCTCCTTGCTCCTTCAACATCCGAAGGTGTTGGGAATTCTACTATTCCAAAAATTTTGCAATTCATTGTAAATTTTACTATGTATAGTGGTTTTGTTAGGCACTCCACTGCTTGTTTATCTGTTGGTTTATAAATGACTTGTAAGTCTCTTGGCTCACCTCTTTCCTTATAAAATGATGTTGAACTTCTATATGCTTTGTTTTGGCATGCATAATAGTATTTGCTGCTAGTTTCATAGGAATGATTGTCACTTGGAAGTAAGGTTGCTCTTTTTTTGCACAAACTTAACTCTGCTAATAATTGGCATAAGAAAACAATGTCTTTTGCAGCCTCATGCAATGCACGATATTCAAACTTAGTAGTTGACATAGTCACGCAATTTGTTACTTTAATCAATTGTGGTACTTCCAAGCTTGTGAACTATTCCGATTGTAGATCTCCTAGTATTGACATTCCTCCCATTATCAAAGTCGGCAAAGATATGATACATCAGACCTTCATGTTGCTTGAAGTGAAAATTTCAATTCATTGTTCCTTCAAATACCGCAAAATTGAATTTGCATCAGCCCAATGAATATTTTGAGGATGCTTTATATATCGACACATGTTACTTATTACAAAGCTAATATCATATCATGAGATCAATGCAACAAAAAGAAGTAATGCAACCAATGATATATATAATGTAGCATCAACTATCAGTCTTGAAGTATGACGTTGTAACTCCAATCCAATGATAATTGAAAAGTGACTGAATTATATGTGTCTAGATTAAATTTTGTTGATGCAAATAGATATTAGTCTTTGTTTGTTTCAATTCTAAATCTAAATACAACTTTGCATCACCAAAAATTGTCATATCAAATTCACTTGTAAGAATGTTTTTGATCATATTGAATTTGTCATGATTATCTTCAACAAGCAACAAATCATCAACATAGAATATCAAAATTGCATATCTACTGTCAAAGACAGAGTATATATATTACTATCAA